AAAAATTTAACAAATAAGCAATTTTATTCGATTTACTTTGTTACGTGGCGATTTTTAAAACCCTCTCCCCCCTCAGCTGTGACAAATCGTGACGGTCCTTCAAACTCTCCTTCCCCCTACCAGCGTCACGAGATGTATAGACGGCCCCTATCATAAATACTTCAGATTTCGCATAATATAGGTACCTACCATATACTATTTGAAACTGGGCATCCTGTTTAAATTGAAAATAAAACTATTTTAATTAATTTAAAGAAAGGTGCACTGCTCTGGGATGTGTTTTTAAAGATTTGAAAACAATTATCCAATCATAGTACCGTTAAGTAAAGAATATCTTTACTCAGTTTTCTATGGATATTATCTTCTCGCAAAGTTTAACAAACATACCCCTGCTTACATAAATGATTTGGAACCAAAAAAGTGAGCGTTTTTGACTTAAAACTAACTTAATAATATTGAGTATTGAGTATCAATGTTGATATGTTAATATTACTATAATAATAATGGTGATAGGTATTTGAGTTTAGTGAATGTGTGCGTATCTGTTTTAATTTAGAATTCTGTTACATCAAAATTTAAGATGTAATTTTTAAATAATAAGGTTAATAATATTAACCAAATTTAATAATAAATAAAGGCTTTAATGTTGTACACACAAAAGTCTTTTCAAAAATTACAAAATATTTACGTATAAGCGGTCAGATTAATAATTTAATGAGGTAGGTATACCTATTAATGAGGACAACATAAATAATATTTTTAATAAAATTACCATATTTTTAATAAAATGAGCATTAGAAAAAATATGCACACCAATAGGTACCATTAAAACGAGCATTAGATGAAGTAAAGTATGTATTAGGTAGATTGGAGTGAGTAGAGTTGGGTTGGGTTTGGTTTGGTTGAGTTGGGTGCATGTGGTGATTTTCTGTTAAATACGCACACAAAAACAAATAAGTAATACTTTAAAGTATTTAAAATATTGCGCGCTTAAATAATACCTATTATTAATTATTAAATTTTTTCTCATATAACAGTAAACAGTATAAACAGTAAAAACACAATATAAAATAATACAAAGCCATTATGTATTTACCGAAAACCCAAAATAGATTCTTAGCGTTTATGAAAATACAATCCGCATTTAATGTTTTAACAGGTTATAACTTCAAACACCATAAAACTATGTTTAAAAAAACTCAAATAAAAAATTGTTCAACTCTATTTTTATAAACGCTGTAAGTCTTACTCTATAAGTCTTATGTAGGTAGCTATAGGATATAGGACGTACAATTTCCTTTGCACTATTTTCGAGCCATATTATAGGTTACTGTCAAAATAAAAAATACTTAAAGCTAAAATACAGCTGAAAAATCATGATTTGATTTCGGTGGAGCGAAAGTGCATTATTTGACCCGTTTTTTTCTCGCCGTTTAAGAATCTTGATTTCTGGATTTTTGGACGTATTTAAAAAGATTTAAGCCAAGGCACACAATTTCCAAACATAATAATTTAAATATGATACAGATAAAAACTATCGATACAACCCGAACTAATAATTTAAATTAAAAGCAATTATAATTTAAACAAACAAACTATGAATGTCTGTATATATTAATGTACTATTGACAGTCATATTTACAATTTTACCATGTTAATTTAAATCACAAAAATACAATAAATAATATTTGTTTTTTAAAAGTTGAATAAAGTAAATCCCTGTATTCCCAAAACTAAATTAAATAAAAAATATGGTTTAAGATTTTACCTATTACGCGTTTATTATATCTAAAATATTTTTGAAAAATTTTATGTTATAGATAAATATGTGTCGCCAACATTTCCCTTGTTTAATTTATTTTATATATATATATATATATATATATATATAGTTACTATTTATTTCAAGAAGAAAAGTTATTCTTTACGCGGTTTGTCAAAAAATATGAATCTTACTGAAGAGTAAAGTACCTTTATATTTAAGAATTTCAAAAATTCTTATTAAAAAAAGAATCAGAAGAATCAGAACGAACAACTTTTCGTAATTACAGTTTTCGATATTGTCACAAATAAAGGTACTCCTGTACCAAATTCATACTTTTTGTCAAACCTCGTATATAACTGAAAAAATTTGATATCTAATGATTTTATTTTAGATTTTAGAACATGCAGAACTTTTTATAAAGAATATCTTTTCTTCGTAAAATTAATAATAAGAAATTTCTTAACTTAAGTTTTCAATATGTTGCCAACATAAGTAGACACACTGTATATGTGATTTAAATTTTATGAAAAAAATCACTTGAGTATTTTTTAAACTTATACAAGGCGTGTTCAAAAAGTGGGTAACTTGTAGCCGTATCGGGTGCTTAGCTTACCTTTACTACAGCTAAACATGTCATGTTTATGTTTTGGCTAGAATGGCGATTTTTATTTCTTGAAAAAATATATTGCATTTAGTTTGGCTGTATCATACAGCCTGTATGTAGGTAATAATGAAATAAGTTTAGCAATGTTTCATAAATTATTGTTTTTGATGAGTCTAATGTGAGTAAAACCAGAGTTTACAAAAGGTGTAAGCTTTTCCAAAATGGCTGTGAAAGCGTTAAAAATGACGAGTAGGTTCTCTGAACGCATAGCACATCAAGAAGGTGAAGGACAAAAAGATATGATGATGAACAATCAATAAGAAATACTACTAACAAATTAAATCCTGTTTGCGTGCATCAATATTGATGCCCGATTTAATTGTTTGTTAGTGATATTTTGGTCGAAAACAACTCCTTAAATTGTCCCAGATATGCCTGCATGTGAATTTTTTTGTTCCGATAAATAAAGTCTTTTGCATAGATTAACAACCTCTGCACCAAAACACCTTTTCGACAGCTGACCACAGACTAAACACGCGATACATGTCTGCCAATATAACATCGCCCAAAATCGTAATAATAAAACCAAAAAAAAAAAATCCCCGTTACTATTTGAACACAAGTAGTATTATTATTAAAGTGTATTAATTATGCTGTTCTTAAATAATTAAAATAAAAATTTTGTCAACCCCCCGTGCGGGAGGCCCTGGTCCAATTTTTCATGGGTAGTTAAAATCGTGTCACAGTGGAAATTTAATTAGTGTAAATTAAACAATTAAAAACTTGCAGTTATAGCGTTTTAAAATATGTACCTACCTATATTAATTTTATTAAATAAATAGAGGTTCAATGAAATTTAATTTTGGTCTGATATTTCTGTATATCTAAATAGAAAATTTACTGAAGTTAATTTCAATTAAATGCAGCAGTAGGTTTTTATACTTTATTTGCTAAAAACCAAATAATAATTTTTTATTCAACCCGCGAAATAGCATTTCGCCCACGGGCTGAAGTTAGCTTTAAGTAAAAATATAAAAAGTTTAAAACTAAGACAGTTTTCAGATGTCAGATAAAATATAAAATAAAATTGGTATTATATTCCTTGGGGTACTTAAATAAAATATTGTATGCGACTGACTATTGGTCGTCAGAAGAGGAGATTTAACTCGCACATGTGTTTTATATAAACTATCTCAATTTTAAATATATTGATGTTAGGTAAAAATGTTAAAATTGTTTTAAAATGTCGCAACAGTTAAAATATAATATAATTTTAATATTTAAAAAAAAATTATGTGACCCTACTTTTTGAAAGGGTAAAAAAATATCTCATCCCATTTTAATCAAGAAAGGCATATTTATAATTATATTTAATATAATTTTTTAAACGACAATAAACACCAGCGCATCGAAAATTTTACTTTTAATACGTTAATCCTTAAAGCTATCACGAATAAGTTTTACTTACAGTATTACCTATAATTATTATTATTATAATTAATTAAGTTATAGTTACCATTTATATTAAAATTGTTTAACAACTCCAAACATTTACAGAACAAGTTTGATTTTAATTATTGTATTACTAATTTATGAAATGTTAATAGTTACTTAATTAAACAAAATTTATTATTTTTTTTAAATTTAGATTTAGCCGAGAAAAAATTTTACGTACAATGACACCAAAAATTTTAAATACATAGTACCTATTTTTATTTAGTATTTATTTAGTATGCTGAACTATAACTAAAGATTAATTAAGTTAATCCCTTAAAATTACTTTTATTTCAAACAATTTTGTTAGTTAAATAAATAAGAAAGTAGATACCTACCTACTACCGATTTTATAGAAATTGAAAGGATTTTACTTAATTAAACTGAAATTAAAGAACAAATACGACATTTATGATTATAAATCTTGCATTTAATGAATTTAATAGATAAATATTGTTGGGCTAAAAAAATCGCCAATAATTTATATGAACATAATAAATCGTTTTACCATGTAGAATAATATTCTTACATTGGAATAAGATCCCTAATATTTAAACCTATTGAAACATAAATACAGAAAAAAACTAAATTACTCATTTATTGGTTACTTTGTTATGTTAATGTTTATGTATTAATTTTTGAGAATATGCATTTTTGTTTTTTTGTTTTCATATTTTAATATTGTTGGTGGAGATTTGTTATGTTGAAAGGAGCAAATTATTGTAGTTTTAAATTATATAATTTTTAATAAATTTTATTTTTTATATTTTGTTATACAATGGTCATTTTAAGTAAGATTTTAAAAATTATTTTTTAAATTAAAAAAAAAGTTATACAAGGAAATATTATAACTGCGTTTTACTATTTATCTTCCATGCAATTTTTATTAAATCTTAAATTGTTATAAATTAAAGATAATTTATAAGAAAATACAATAGTTTTTCAGAATATGTTTTCTGACGCAGCTATACTGTTATTGTTGTTGTACACGTAAATGTAAATAAATAAAAAAACAAAAATAAACTAAAATAAATTTATTTGTAATTAAAAAAAATGTATTAACATTTTTGTAATATAAAATACAAACATTAAAGCAATAAATAACATTTTTTTTAATCCAAAGGAAACCTAGTAAGCTGCTGAAATTTCCTATTAAGTATGGCAATTTTAAATAATGTAAGAAATAATAAATATGTACACTCTATTGTTTTATATACATCATTAAAAGGGACAAATTTGTCGGGTTCATTAGTTACATACATATATTAAAAAATAATCCATGAAAAATCAGTCAAACATTTACAGAGGGATTGCAGCCTGTACTAAGCAAACTTTAAGGTCTCTGGCCAAATGGGAGATATCGACTATGGAATCAACCATTTCTTGGACTGCTGTCACTGAGGGAAATTGCAAGGCTGCTTGTTTTGTTTTATTTACACTAGTGGCAAGAGCATCCGCCAAGGAATTAGCGCAACCTAATGATCTATCTTTAATTTCTTTGCAAGAAACATTTCTATGAACAGTATCACCAATATGAACTAATTTATGAGCACTTAAAACTACGAATTTGCCGTGAGCTATAAAAACTTTTGGGGGTTGATTATGTTCTACACTTTCTAAAAAGGCGTCTATAGCCTGCGTTAAATTATTATGATGAGTCACCAGTTGAGCCGAAAAAAATTCTAAAATTTGTTTATCGCTAGGATCTAAACCCACAGACTTGTGATCATCGAAAGAGACATTGTCAGCACTTTTTATACAATTATCAAAACCTATTTTTAAATTATTGGGAAGTGCGTTTAAAATTTCTAATCTGTTTTTGTTTATGTTATCTTTGGATTCTAAACTGACATAATCGTGTTCTTCTGTCCAATCGATACTGTTGGGGTCTCTTTTGAAAAGTAATAGTCCATTTCCTTGTATGAATGATGCAATCTGCATAATATCTTCTGTTAACGCTCTGGAACATGCTACCAACTGCTCTAGTTCATCAGGCTTGTAATTTTTATCATCATTATCGTTTCGTGAAAGCAAGTCTAGTGACCAATTTTGTCTATTTAATTTTTGGAAAGCCTCCTGAACTAAGGCGTGGGAGTTTTTGAGCGATAACACTAACGGTGATAACTTGCCTGCAAGGTTTTTGTCAGACGCTCTTGATGCATTGCCTAGTGTGCCTTCACCGAATTCCGCAAGATCTTGTAGTGACGTGCTCAGCCGGGTCACAGCTAGCTTAATTTCCATAAGACTGTACTGGAGTTTTTCGGGGGACCTCCATTGAGGACCAACGAAGCCGAGTAGTTTGGAAATCGCGCTGGTAGTATCAGTCTGTAATCTCTCCAATGTTTCAAGTGCAGAATTTAGTTCTAATGGCAACTCCTTTGGCTGATGCGATGATGGTGGAATATCATAAAGTTGATTTTGGTTGTGTAATGCCATGGAGGCGGTTTTGTTGTATGATTTTGGAACGTCGTAATCCGGCATGTTAATTAGGCTGCTTCTATTAGAGGAGCTTAAGGAGTCTGCCGTCAGGGAACTGGCCGAACTGGATGGAGTGAGGGGGTTGTGGAGAGGTCGAGGAATGTCGTATGCTTCACCAGACTCACGGCTAACTGGTGACACACACGAAGGGGCAGGTGAACATCGAGGACAGTTGCGGAAGTTTTCGTTGCCTACTGGAATTGCACGCGGTGGAACATCATAGTCGCTACCCTCGTCCTTAAGGCTTAGCCCTGGACTGAGAGACGCAACTGGAAGAGGACAACTTCTAGGGGGCATGTCGTATAAGTAGACATCGTTGAATTTTTTTGGAGTGACAACCTGAAAATATAGCAAACAATTAGTTTTCTTTACAATAAAAAAGTCGATAAAATGCAACAGTATAGATGAATGTGTTTTGTTTACCAAACACCAACCGATTAGTTATTCTGAAATGATGTATCAAATATCGTGTAAAGACTATCAATGAACATGTCAATGTGGCGCCAGACAACGCAAATAAAGCAATAAATTCGATTTAGAGAGTGCTCTGTATGGAAATAAACAAGAAAGCTCACGATGTCTGGCAGCGCGTTGCAGCGCTATGTCAGTCAAATCGTAAAGTTTTATGAAGATTGCTGAGATAAATGTTAATTAATTTTTAGGCGTATTTAATGTAGTATACAGTGTTGCCACTGTTAGTACTTTTTTACTAGATCTAGTCCTAAAATTGATTTTTTAGTACGTTAGTACGCTTTAGCAAAATCTAGTACTTTTTATAGTTGAATATGTATATTCTCGCAACAAAATTGGTTTAAACCACAAATGTGTGCTTTAAAAGGAAAAAATATTTTTTAGTCATTTTGGCAACAATGCAAACAACTGACTGACTTCATGTCAGTGACATGTTAGTAAAATTCTCCACAGATGGCAGCATAAAAAATGTGCTATCACAATGGGTGTTCTGCTTCTTTTTTATGGGCTTTTTATATCTTACAGCCAGCGTTGCAGTCTGCTAGAAGTTCACATAGTGATTACAATTATTTTAATCACTATGTGATAAAAATCAGAGCACCAGCTATCTTTGCCCTTTTTAGAAAGTTAAGGATTAAGGGTTTTATTGTCGACGCTAAAAAAATGTCTACTACCAAGAAAATATGGGCCTTAAAATATCAAATGTTCCTTGGTAAAATTATATTATGCCTGCAACTTTACAAAAATATATTTTCCATGGAATTATATTCTTAGCACTTTTGGCACTGGTCAACTAACCAAAGAACCACAAGGGGCTAGAGATAAAACTTTTAATTGATATAAAGAGCAAAACTTGATAGAGTGTAGCCAAGAGTAATCCACTAGGGATATTTTTAAATTTTTTAATAACTTTAGATCCTTGTATCTCTAGTAAACACAAACTCAAAAATACCATTTCTCAAAATCTTTATTACCTATGTTAAAAGCCCAATTTTTAAATATAGATAACATGTAGTGACAAAGAAAGGTAATGATGATGATGAAGATAAAAATAGTGACGATGTATTATAGTGTTTTTTTTCTTAAAATATTTCTCTTCACGTTATAAAAGATGACTGCTTCATTTTTGTATTAAAATATTTAGCGTTTAAAACACTTAAACACTAATAAAAATGACCGATTTAAGTTACAAAATATTTTAATTCTTACAAGAGCTAGTCCTGTAAATATTTATCATATATAATTTGTTTAAGCAACTTCATTTTATTATTTATTTATTAGGGTGCAGGGATCCGACTCGAGTCGCTGCCTAGACACTAGAAAAAAATTAATCAAATGCCATACATTAGTACGTTCACAATCCACACAATGGAATTCACAATTTCCTTTTTGAAAAGTTTTTAATAGATCTGACCCATTTTCAAAGAACAAATTTTGATAACCGTCCCGAAGAAACTTTTCTTTTCCGGTAAAAGTACAGAATTGGAGGGAAAATGGAAAAAAATGTACTTAAAAAAATTTAGACGGGAAGTAGGTTTCCTGGAGAAAAAAGGTAAAAATCTTCTTCCACAGTTTTCGGTTTTTAAGCCACCAGGATTCGAGAAAAAGCGATTCACAGGTAACAAAAAAAAAGGCGTTCAGATTCGATGCGAGTGATTTTTATAATTAACCATTTTGTTTGTTAGTGGCTTTTAAATAATATGCATATTATGCCATTTTTTGCTTTTTATAAAGCCAAACCACAAGCTTCACCTACGCGATGTAGGTAAGCAAATTATTTAGAAAAAAATTATATAAACTAAATTGTATTTAGTTGACAATTCGTATCATACGTGGACGTATTAAAATATCTATGTTATCATATAATCCCCCACTAATGAACTGAATATGCGCTTAAGGTAAGATCATACGGCAAATTTCCCTTCAAAAAAGGAAACAAGGCAATCTATACAAAATATAGCGAATAAGCAGTATATTTGTGGTTAATTATAAAAATCATCTACATAATATTATTAATATGTTCATGATAAAAACCTTTTGGCTATCGTGGTCAATATACAAAGTTGCCAAATTCTTGCTGTTATAAAATCTAAAATATCATCATATGGTGTGTTTATTATTGTTTAATGCTTTTTTCATACAATTTACTAAAAAGTATTTAGTATACTTCCAAAATAGGGACAAAACTATGGCCTTTTTTTAAACCGGCAATGCGCCTCAATGCAATCATACGGGTATTTTCACTTCCCCTATTTTAACCCCACGAAAAGAAAACAGTCTTAGTTAGAAATGATTTGTATATGTGTGGAAGTATGTGGTCAAACCATAAATTTGAAGGTACTATGATGGACATCATAAAGTTCCACCCGGTTTTATCGTTCTCTCTCTGACCTTGCCGCGAATACAAAACAACCAATAAAAAGTCGCTAGGCACTGTTGTGAAATCTACAATAATATCTATTTAATTCAAAAGACTTAAGAATTCTTTATATGTGACAGTGCTCGGATATTCGAAACCGACATGCTTACTCTGTCTTGCCTGATCTGCTCGCGCCGTCAGTGGGCGGGGCGTATGCTATACGGGGTTTAGGTAGTTGAATCAAGTATTGGTGCATTTTTTGTTTTTGCGTTCAAAAATTTGTTTCCAGTTATATGTATGATGTATTATTCTAGCGCGCATTTTAGGACGCTTTCCCTGCTTAAAATACCCCATAGAGATCCTGTTCAAACCGATAGATATTTGTATCGGGATGTATGGTGTTTCTATAAGGTGTATCGGTTTGTATAGGACCCATAGTTGAGATTTATGGTTGTTCTATAGGGATATCCACCTTTGATTTATTTGCTATCGGTTTCAATGGGGAAAATACACATAAATGTAGAAATTAGTTTTTCCCCTATAGGACCCCATAGGTTTTAATAAAATTTTGTTAAATGTTTTATGGTTGCTCTATAGGGATATCCCTATATATCCCCTTCATTGAGTTATTTGCTATAAGTCTCAATAGGGAAAATGTAAAAGTTATGGTGTGCCTATAGGTAATTTCCTATACATTTTCTATCGGGCCGTATCCGGAAAAAACCATGGACAAATGCACATATTGAATCCGGTAGCGCCCGATAGATTATTTTGTATAGGTCTCTATGGGGTATTTTAAGCAGGGTTGATAAAAATTCATATTTCTACAACCGTTGAAGTTAGCGACTTCATTTTTTTTTAAACTTTGTCAATGTTTTGACTACATTTGACTCGATATATATGTATAGAAATTTTCAATAATTCACATAGCTCGCCGCAGAGTAAAGTTTTTGATGCACAATTTTGATAATTCTATATTGCAATTTTTTTTTCAAAATCTTTAAAAATTTTAAAAATTTTTGAATTGGTATTAGAAGCTCTCACATTTCAAGTATAAGTCTGCAAAAAATCAGAATTTTAGATTGTATTTGCAGCATTTGTGTTGATGGAGAATAACAAGTAGAAATATTTGTTTAAAGATTTTATTATAAGAAGTTATAAAATTAAATGTATGATAATTTTACGGTTTTTGCGAGTCACAAAATCGGTAATAGTAGCTTACTTAAATTATAAACCAGTGGCGACTCGTCAGGGTAGGCCTCTGAGGCCGCGCCTCACCCTTAAAATGAAGGAACGAACGACTTTTTGTATTTAGATTTTTGTCTATTACAAGTGTATTTTTACAACAGTTCTACCCAATAAAAAGTAAAAAAAAACAATCAATCATACTAAGCGTAAATAAAAATCCAGGCGCAAAGCGCGTCAAGGTAACGTGCATCGTTGAGAGTCGCTAGGACAGAGGCGAAATTTTCACAGCCTCGGAAGTTCCCAATAAAAACCGTAGATTCAGTCGTAGATGAGGCGAAATTTAGTTAGCTTTGCTTGTTCTGATTGGTGGTTTTATCACATGACCGATGATAATCGCTTGTGGAGGTCCGTCTATGGTGGGATGCCAGTGTTCTCTTAGCGTTTGTAGAGCACGTTATTGTTTTGATTCAGATTAAATTATTTAAAACTTTTGGCTGATCTTTTATAGTTTTTGTCTCGATTAGTAAAATTTCTTATTTAATTATTGTAGGGAACACACTAAGGTAGATTTAGCAGTTTAGCAGATTTAGCAAATTTTATATTTTGAAATAATAGATTTCATAATTCTTTAATTAGAGACGCGGTTTGAAAATTTAGAATTACTTTCAAATCTCACTGCAGACCCACAATTTTACGACCAAATAATAGATAAATTTGCAAACTTAAAAGATAAACGTATAGTATTTTATATTTTTTAATACTTAGGTAGGGGTTGACTTTTTAGTTTTATTTTTATTTTTTGATTAATTTATTTATTTTTAACTTTTTTAAGAATATATTTTTAAGTTTTAAGTTTAAAACTAGTCTTTGGTGTGATATTTTGTTTGTTTTATTTTTTAGAGTTTATTTTTTATTTATAATGGTTTAGTAGGGCTATCGGCGATGACCTCAATTTTAAAAAAGGTCAAAGCGTCGCAGAATAATACCTCTCGGGTGACGTGGAAATTTATTCGTATTTAGACAAAATTAACCTTATGTAGCCTCACCCTTCTGTACAAACACGAGCCGCCACTGTTATCAACATACGTAAAACAATGTGATTGTTGTAAAGCCGGGTCTACAATTGTCGCAGGTCGCAGATCGCAGAATATAAGCTTGCGCAAAGCACCCAGCTAACAAAAGAACCTTGCTCCATCGCCACGTTGCGGAGTCCTTTGCGCAAGCTTATGTTCTGCGATCGGGGACCCCTGCGACAATTGTAGACCCGGCTTAACCCGTTTCGTTACCGTAATTTCCAACTACAGACAGATTAAAGCGCAAT